CTTGAGACTCTACAAGTCTACATACAGTATGCTTTATTTTGATGCTGCGCCGTAAGTTCATTATAAAAGCCCATGCGTATATATAATGTCTGATCTGGATGAAAGCTGCCTGGTATTCCGTGATTCTGCTGCAATCCTGTGATCGTCTGCTAGTACCCAACCTTGAAAGCAAAGGAGGCTAGTCCAAGTCAGTTTTGTAGGGCGTGGGTTCACTCCAGTTATACGTACAGTACTGTATAGTATGCCTTTGACATCAGACCACGAATGTTGGTTGCCTTCACGCACAATCAATTAGTAGCAGCATTAAGACTGACTTGCCAAATTCACTTGGGTATGCCACAAGCAAGTTTATTGCAACACCGGGACCAACATAACCAGCAGATGGTCCCACTACATTTACAAGTATTTTAGAGTACAGTACAGTATATGGTTCAAGATATGATTGCTGAGCACAAACACAGATGTGGTACGCGACAATTTGACTTAAATCTGTTGCTGGGCTAGGGTTGGATTGTCCAGTGATGAAATTGTGAGACCATGTGGAACTTGATGTTCTCAACAATGCATAGATTTTGAGGTCATGTGTCTTTCTGCAGGTGAAATTGTGGGGCAAAGGCCAAAATTGCAATTTGACATTTCAACAAATGAGACCATTGAATCGTGGGATGGTTGAATTGCGGGGTACCACCTGAATGGTGCTTCTGTTAGAACACAAGAGAGGAATGCCACGGAAATGCATCAGGCATATTCATACTGATGTAAAGATGTTTTTGGTCACTCATTTGGCTGCAAGTTGAGTTGTTCTTGTGTATGGTCTGCTCAGTTCAATTCAGTTTGGCGTTCGTACATGTAGTGCAGTACATATAGAAGGTTTGTTGGGTAGACATACGGTACCTATATACAGATTCGCGCTGAAAAATACTTGTTCATTTATCATGATTACCTGCTTGCGGCACCACCTGCAGCAGTTTGGAAAAGGGCAACAACAACAAGCAAAGGACGGAGGAAGGTTCAAGACGGAATTTGCTCGATTAAGAAAAATGTCGCCGGGGAAACTCGACAAGGTTTTCCATCGCCGCGCACGGTTACCGTGTATGTAATTGTTTCTAATATGCGGATCATCCCACAATATAAGGTTCAAGTATACGACAGTTTCGCTTATTTATCCTAGCCAGGGTAGATGAGAGGAACGCAGTGAAAGTCGAAGTGAAGTCACTCATGACGATCAACAAGCCCGACGACGCTCTCGTTTCCTGATCCATGCACCCTTCAAGCACGACGACGACGACGAGTCGGTCATCGTCATGTGTTCCGGGATAATCCCTTCGTAGGCTTCGTTAATCCCCTAGTCCGAAATTCGCACGTCCCGATAGACGATGAAGTGGAGTGGAGTGGAGTTGAGTTGAGGTGTATGTCGTCATCGTCATCATGAGTGGGTTAACTTATCGCCTTCAATGCGTTATTCGCGAAATTTAAGGACCACATTACCTGACGTGCAAGCAGCGGGAAGCCAAGGATGGAACGACTCGATGATGAGCCCCGCGGCGGCGGTGGCCTGCTCGACCGCCTCGGTGGACGCCGGAGCTGCAGCCTGGGCCTGGCCTCGGCCTTCTTCTGCGGCTACGCCTGCTACTCCGTCATCGCCCCGTTCTTCGGCGTTGAGGTAAATCGCGTGAATGCGTCTTGTTGTTTCATGCTATTATTATTATTATTATTATTATTATCATTATTATTATCATTTCATCGCACCTTTTCTCGATGCTGCTCTGGTTCCTTATTTCTTTATTTATTTCTGGTCGTATATAGTCAACCACTGATAAGACACCTCCATTTGTCCAGAGCAATTTTGGCAGTTTGAAGAGGTTGGAGGTTTATTGAATATTCAATTTTAATTATTTCATCAAAATACTTGATTTTCCTCCAAAAGTCATGGAGATACAGGTTATGTAAAGAAACTTCAGTAATTTTCCAAAGAGTATTGCTGTGATCAAAGGATTACTCTTTCAGCAAATAAATTTTGCTGCATCAATTTATTCAAATTTTAAGATTAGGTGAATATATTTTCAAAATTTTCAACATTATTATTTTTTTTCTTACAAATACAAGATCCTTGGCAGAAATTATAATTCTATCCAAATGTTGGCACTGTAACAAAGACAAAACTAATTGGAAACAGCACTATTGTTTTATCAATAATGCTGGCAGATGGCGGTTGGCGTCTGATTGATGTTTTCTATAGACTTTAACTGAGAGGAGATTTGTTTCATTTGAAATTTGGGCAGTTGTCCAGGGGTGGCGCTTTATTGGGGGCGTCTTAATGTGGTTTGACTGTACCTGGTCTCTTCTCTGATGCTCTCTTCCACTGCGCACCGCAAAAAGCAGGACATGTGCAATATGTTTTTGAGTAAATGTCACATTGTCCCCGGCCATCCATGTGATTCCCAAACTAAGTACATTCACCATCAGCAGCAATTAATGACGTATCTTCCACTGCGCACCGCAAAAAGCAGGACATGTGCAATATGTTTTTGAGTAAATGTCACATTGTCCCCGGCCATCCATGTGATTCCCAAACTAAGTACATTCACCATCAGCAGCAATTAATGACGTAAAATGGTCATGAAAGCGTGCAGTGTTCCTTTTCAAGCAATCCATTAACTGAAATGAGCATACAGCAGAAAACTCTCAATCAGCCAGCTGTTTCTTGAACTGAACATCTCCTAAAGAGGAAGCTTCTTTTAAGGTTGTTTCTGTGGAATTTATGCAGTTGAGCAAGTGCTGTATGCTGCATGTACGAGGGTTCTAACAAAAGTTCTCGGAGTCAACCACAAGCCATCACTGGAGATGGATGAACTTTTTTTTATTGGATTCCTCATCCTTTTTTAACCTAGAAGCAATTTTTTTTTTCATCCCTAGACAAAAAATGGAAACTGGGAAAAAAATTGAATGAGTTTTTTCTGGTGATGTGCCCACCCATTCTAACAGAAGTTCTCGGAATCAACCACAAACCTTCACCGGAGATGGACATGGATTTTTTTTATAGGATTCCTCATCCATTTCTGGCCTAGAATCGTTTTTTTTTCATCCCCAGACGAAAATGGAAATGCAAAATAAAAACTTGAATGAGTCGTCGTATCCAATGAAGTGCCCACCCATGACCAAAGAGCAGTTGCGCACATGCATGCTCCTGAACACACTGCTTTGAAAACTCTTGATTTCATTTCAAATTGGGGCATTCAGCTTTTTACTCTTCCTTCTTACTCCCCTGGTCTTGCTCCCTGAGATTTTTGATTGTTTCCAACTGTGAAAGAAGGGCTTCAAGGGAAAGTGTTTTTTGTCAATAAGAAATTTTTTTTTACCCAAAAGTTTTTTTTTTCTTCTTCATTCCAAGAACTTCTGTTAGAATGGGTGGGCACAGCACCAGAAAAAACTCATTCAATTTTTTTCCCCAGTTTCCATTTTTTGTCTAGGGATGAAAAAAAAAATTGGTTCTAGGTTAAAAAAGGATGAGGAATCCAATAAAAAAAAGTTCATCCATCTCCAGTGATGGCTTGTGGTCGACTCCGATAACTTTTGTTAGAACCCGTATAAAGGAGAACAATAGGGAACGAACGTTGCTGGGTTCTGGTGTTCAGAGTCGACTTTACAATATGGGAAGCAGCTTTTCCGAGTAATTTGCATTGTCCTTTTTGCGAAAGAAAAGATAAATTACTCTGAGAGAGAGTGTGTGTGTGTGGGTGTGCGGGAAATCTTCTTTCCAGGTGGATTAGATACCTGGAAACGTCATTGACTCTATTTGAGAAATATACTGTACCTGGAAATTTTCTGAAATCTTAGTGCCGTATAGTTTCTTGGAATGACGACACGAAAGCGGGATTATTGTTCAATTTCCCTTGCTTTAATATCGGTTGTGGAAGTTATTACTCCTATTTAATTTGGATCAAGGATTGAGGATTTGGATTGTTATAAATTATGTTAACATTTTACTTCGATATATACAGTATTTTTGAATCAGTGTGGAGAAAATAAAAATTCGATCTCAGTGCTGACTAGTGAAATTTTCTGAAATCTTTGAGCCGTAGTTTCTTGGAATGACGACACGAAAGCGGGATTATTTTTCAATTTCCTGCCACTGCTTGAATATCGGATGTGGAAGTTATTACTCCTATTTAATTTGGATCAAGGATTGAGGATTTGGATTGTTTTAAATTAAGTTAAAATTGTACTTCGATACTATGTTTTAATCAGCGGAGAAAATAAAATTTCGATCTCAGTGACTATATAGTGATGTTTTCTCAAAGGGATTCCACAAGCAATATTTATCAATTCTTCAATAAGACAAACATCAAAATGTTGAGGCCAAGATTTAGGTGATTTTGAAAAAGTGCGCTTCATTTTAAATATTTGTCAAATACAAAATAATTCGTTAATTACTGGAATCCCATTGAACTGTATTTTGAATTTGCATAAGTTATGGATTTTTAGGAGCAGGTCAAAGTTGAAATTTTGAATCAGTGCTGATTGTTCCAAGCAGAAGTGATTTGATGGAGTTTTCAAAGACTTCTGAAAAAATGAGCGGGGGTAAAAATTGGATGTATATCCAAGCGAACAGGCCTGAATTTTTTGTGAAAAGATCAAAAACTTCAAATTTTACCTCTCAATCTTGAAAAATCTTATAATTACGAGACTTAATTATTTTTGTTTGAGAATCTACGAACGAAAAACCATGAAAATTACCTCGTCAATGGACTGAAATAGTTTTCAGGGTCTTGAAAAAATGTAAAAAAATCAATTTTTGTGAACGTTGAGAAAGAATCTACTGTATAAGAAAACACGTGTTCTTGATTTAAAAATGTCATCCTCATCGTTGACAATACTTCGAAATTTATGTAAATGAATGACTTCATGGAAGAAAAAAAAACTCATGACACATGTTTTTCCTCATCCCAGTCAAAATGTACCACAAAGTCCCCGCCATTTCACGGAGAAAATTTATTCCCCCCCCCCCCCATTTTTTTGGCCGCAAATTTGTCGAAATCCCTGGAATAAATTCTTGAATTTAATTTCATCGTCTTGCATTCCGCAGGGTGATCAGGTCATTCTTGTTGTCGTCGAACCAGGTCACCAGCTTCTCGTAAAAGTTTTCCATCCACAGCGTGTTTATTCTAGCTGACTCCAGGGCTTGATCGAAGGCTCGGAATGCAGCGAAATCCGTGATGTGGTCTTCTCGCAATTCCTTCAACTGTTATGTTTTAAACGCAGTTTTTGTAAAAAAAAAAAAAAAAAAAAAAAAAAAGAAAGAAAAAAAGAACGGAATGTGATTTTTTTGAAAAAAAAAAAAAAAAAAAAAAAAAAGAAAGAAAGAAAGAACGGAATGTGATTCAGATTCCAATTTCGGACTTTTTGAAGCTTTTTCCAACTGACCACTTTGCCTATATTTTTTCCGTTTGGTATTTTTTTGTGTGCCAAAACGGCAGGTTCTGCCCAGAAAATAATTTGGCCGTCGCAACTTGCGTTGCAAAGCCATTGGCAAGTCATTGCTGCATGGTTTTCTGCTGTAGAGTTATTTTTAAATTAAAAACGAAAGTGAAAACGTTGTTGTTAAATTTTTAACATACTTTTGTTTTAATTGTTTGTCAATTGTGAGAACTGATGAAAAAATTTTCCAATTGAAGCCTGTTGTTGCGGAGAAAACAAGAGAGGAAACCAATGAAGGTTTCCATCTTGCATCAGCTGATGATGCAGTTCATTAATTTCTTTGATTTTTCCATTTGTGGCCAATCAGAGGCCAGAGAATATCCAAGGATGTTCTGGAATTTTCTGGTCAGATCACCTGACCAGGAAATCCCAAGAAAATTGCATAAGCTCCAAATAATTCAAATTTAAGAGTCAGTCTGTCCTGAACTCTTGGACAATCACCTTCTTTCCTTTTAAATTATTTGTGTGCATAAATCTGTTTTTTCCCCATGTGTTATTGATTAGTGTTATTCAAATTTGTTGTGTGCATTGTTTGTGTTTATTCTCTGGAATTTTAAAATCTATTCAACTCTGTTGAAACTGTTAAAAAATATGATTGAAAAACTAGGAACATATATTCAAGAAACCCCCTTGAAAATGTGTTCTTGGCCTTCAAAAGGCTGATTGCCGGTATTTTTTATTCATGTTTCTTTTGTGATCCTTGATGTTACCTTCTAAAAGGGGAAAATTTGATCAATCATGCGGATGTTCCGATGTACGGACAAAGGCTGAGAAACAATTATGTTTGCATCTCAGGGCCTCAGTTTATTATTGAAAACTGGCCATAAAGAAATATTCCCATATACATGTCAGATGTCCAGTTGTATTTCATGTTGTATTGTATTTTCTTTTCTTTTTGTTAGCAATTTGTGCTTTCCTGCTCTGAAGTGATTAAAATGTCTTTGAGTGGATTTGGGTTGGGTGGGAAGGGGGGTTTGGTAGTGGAAATCTTGAGGGAACCTTGTGAATGCTGAAAAGCGGCAAATAAAGTGTTCTGTTCATTCATTCATTCAAGACATATTATTGAGATGAGAAATACGATTATGGCGCTTCTGCATAGGCATGCAAGAGGATATTCAAGTTAAGAAACATATTTGACTATACCATCAACTGCTTCTTTCAAAGTTCTAAGCACTGTATAGTAAAAGTTTGCTGTATGCGAGGCGGAAAGCTTTGATTTAGACCCATATTTTCTGATCGCTATCCCAAATACACGTGCCGTTTTTTCTTCTTCACGATGTAAAACATATTCCACGTGTTATTTTTCGCATGATTGTTTTTCTACAAATTGAATAAAAAGTAATTCTACGGTCCTCAAATCTTACTGCTGTATATTGAGTTTCAGATAAACCGAAGAATGCTATTGACGTAGTGTTGACGACAGTCGGTGGAATAATGCAATTTAATTGCACTTTGGTTTGCAAACGAACGGCACTTCGTGTCACGTTCTTCATGGAAAAACACTTCTTAATTTTTCTCTCGCCGGTTTCTTTTTTATTTTCAAATGAGAAAACGAATCAATATCGGATCTTAATTAATTAGGTTTACTCTCGTAACACGATGGAAAGATGGAGCATCGCTGTATTTATTGGAAATGAATCTCACCAGCTCCACTTCTCCTTCAGTGTTGAAAGCAGCTCCGAATGGCTCCAGAATTGTTTCCAATACTGCTCTTCCGCCCCCGTAGCTGCATCAAATAAAATTAGAGAACTCTTTTTAAATTCACAGAGGTGTCATTTAAATGTTTCGCAAGAATGTGTCAGATTTATTTTATGCATTTTATAATTTAGCTAAAATTTTTCTTGACGCAGAGAATATATCAGATTTATTTTATTCATTTTAGAATTTAGCTAGAATATTTCTCGACGCAAAGAATACATCAGATTTATTTTATTCATTTTAGAATTTAGCTAGAATATTTCTTGACGCAAAGAATATATCAGATTACTTCTATCCATTTTAGAATTTAGCTAGAATATTTCTCGACGCAAAGAATACATCAGATTTATTTTATTCATTTTATAATTTAGCTAAAATATTTCTTGACGCATTTAGACGAATAATCGCTGCAGATTCGAGGATAGATTTTTTTCAGTTGCTTGCGAAGAAAAAATCTTGTTAGAGATCAATGATTTATTTTAATAATTTCAGGACGCTTGAAAAACAGCTCGCATAATTTCTGGTCCTGAATGCGGTTTATAATTTTAAAAATCTTTGTCAAGATTTATAAAATTCAAATACAGTTTAATTTAGATTAAAAAGATTTCGTTGATCAGAAAACAATCATTCCTTCGAAACCTGCGAATCCAAAACGTCTTAATTGAATGTGTGAGATCTCATCAAATACAATTTTCCATCGACTTTAAAATTGAAGCTATTCGACAAATTTTGCGATGATTCCTGCTGGCAACTGCTCAAATTTTTTTTTTAATTAATAATTTTTTGCTCACGCTGCCATGACTTCGTCCCAACGAGATTTCAGGAAATTGAAAGCAAATGGCGTGCCAATAACGTTGGTTGCGATGTAGGAAAAGGCGTCTTCAGTGTCGTGCCGACGAAGGGTTGAATTTTCCAGTTGTACAGTAATTTCCAGGTACCTGATAGCAGGAAAATATAGAAGATTGTGACATCCTGAACTAGATCAGCTTTTCGATGCGGGGACCGTGATTTAATTTTTTTCGGAGCTTATTGAAGCTCATTTCTTCAAATCCACGTTTCCACTGTGTGTGTGTGTGTGATCAGACTACAACATTTTCAAGAAACATGAAGGTCCCAGCAGGCAGCATGATAAATTATCATAACAGAAGTTGCACCATTTCTTCATCAAAGAGAAAAGATTTCTTTGAAATGCAGGATTAGATCAGTTTTGAGATTCCATTTTTTCTCTGGGGTTAAATTTTTTTTACTACTCGTCAAGTATTGTTTCAAAAATTAAAAAAATTGAATAATCAGATAAATTTGAATTTTTAAAAGGAAACCTAAGAAAGACAAAAAATTTACTTACTAAATCCGGAAAAAAATGCGTTGGAAAATTGGAGCAAGATTTTTAGGCCTTGACGTCTCTGTCGGGATCTTTTAAAAAAAAATTCAATGTGAATTTAAAAAAAAAATGTAGCAGTTGCCGTAATTTTAATGGGAACATTGGAAAATCAGCAAAAATCCATTTCCTGCACTAAATCTGGAAAACAATATGTTAGAGCAAGATTTTTACACTGCTGACACTGTTTCTATGGTGTTTCTGTTGGGACCTCTGAAACGTTTAAAAATATAACCAATAAATGAAAATGAATTTCCAATTTCCAAAAATTTGATGGAATCCTCAAAAAATTGCCAAAAATGAAATATTTTTACTAAACCTAAACGAAACTGTTTGCGCAACATTTTGGAACCATATCTGTGGTGTTTCTCCTGGAACCTTCATAAAATGCATTACAGTGCATGACAGAATTAACATCTGTATTCTAAAGTACAGTACATAATTCACCGCCTCTTAATTATATTGAGGACAGATATATATATATATATATATATATATATATATATTATGTAATATATAATACAATTTAATTAATAATGTCCCCAATATAATTTTTATATATATCCCAATCTATCTGCCCCCAATATAATTATATAAATATAAAATGTAAAACATTATTCCTGGGCACTCATCTCTGAGACTGGCAATGACGCCATATTGGATCAATCGATCCCAAACCCGACACTCACTTGTTGATGAGCCACACCTCCTTGGTACAGGCCAGAGAAACGATCATGTTCGACACCTCAGACGCATAAGCAGTACGGGTATAATGAGTCCACGCGTGGTCCCACTCAGCTGATGCCCCGTAAGTGATGCCATTGCAATAAATCAAGTCCTTGTAATTCGGATTCAGTCTGGAGTCATAAGGAATGGGAAAATTATGCGATTGAATTCCGCCGGATGAAACGTGCGGGGAATTATATTCAAAGAATCACTTTTTTCACCCTTGCTATAAATGCTGCACGCTGATGTTCGATATGGAATTAGAGGGAGGATGAGCCTTTATATATATATTTATATATTTATACATACGAAGGGTTGGTTCATGGGTTTTGAGACTTTTTGAAATAGATCCTACGGAGTCTTGGCAATAATTCTAAAAAGAAAAGAAAAACTTTTTACTTGCATAGCGCCCCAATATTTGGCAACACCTCAGTTCTGTTGAATATACTCTCTGCTGATTTTAGTGCATTTTTGTCTTCATGCGATAAATGGATTTATCGCATGAAAAATCAGCTTATGCATTGAAATCAGCGGAGAGTAGGTGGAACAGCACTGAAGTGTTGCCAACCGATGGGTCTACAGGCGAGTAAAATGTTTTCTATTGTTATTGAAACTCCGTTGGATCTATATAAAATTTTTCATGCATGAATGAATGTACAGAACACTTTATTTGCCTCTTCTCAGCGTTCACAAGGTTCAATCAAGATTTTTCAAATTTTTCATAACTTATGAAACAACCCTCGTATTTAGTTTGTGTAAGTTCTTGGACAATACTCAAAATGGTCTATTCATGTGCGAAGTTCGTGCCTCAAATAATTTTTGATTATCACTCGGAAAGAAGATCACTTTATTTTATAATATTCCTGAGTTGTAATCTGCATCGTGGCCTTGTAACGAATTTCCAGTCAGGGGAAGTGTTCTGCGAATATTCATTATACCCGCATATATGGTACAGTACCATACCAAAGTTCTGTAATTACAATTAAATTCTCTGGGATGGTTGACAAATTTACAAACACGTTCGAGCTTTTTGAATGTATTAATCAGAAAGAAATTTGTTTAAAAACAAGATTGTAGCCAAAAGAAACTTGTGGTTTGTATATGAAAGTTGAGGAAAAAGCCTCATATGTTTGCAGAATTTCAGAAATGCGTACTGTATTTTCTTGATCTGTGTAAGCTTTTTCTTCAAACAAAGGAGGAATACATTTTGAACCTTCAGTGAAGCAAAAAAAAAAAACTCGAGTTGAATTTGTCAAACTTTTCTCCTGGCGTATTAATTTTTTTCGGAGGGAGAGTGACTCTACGTGAAATGGAGCTTATAACAAATATTTACGACTGCAAAAAAAGGTTTGTTATGCAGTAATGAAGATTTTTGATTCAATATTTTCAAAATTTCCCGCTCACCTTCTCTGAAGTTCTAGATTTTTTTTTTCTTTATAAAAACAGAGAACCTTCTTCAAACTTTACATTGCTGTTCAAGGTAAACCTTTATGGCCAATCAAGTCCTCTCAATCAAACTTTTCTTATGGAAAGGTTTTATGTATATATATTTTTTTCAAAGTCTTCACAATCTTCGAAGTTTTTTTTCATTGGTACAGTGCATTAATTTTTTTCACTTCATAGAGTTTCAATGACTGAAATGAAATACTTGCGGGCTTGGGGGACGTTTTGTTTATGGAGAATGTTGATTCAATCTTATTGATAGTTTCCCTCTTGCATTCTCTGGAATTCAAAATTTGTTTACTTTTACAGTGAGATCCCCAGATGCGGACATAATTGGTGCATCAAGAGTGTCCCAAAGTTGAATTGTCCCTAAGTTGAGTCTTGTTTTCCCATAGACTTACATTATATAGTTTTTTATTTGTGTTTTATTGAAGAAATATTCTTCAGAATTCCATGAAAAAAATTGTTTGCCATTTGAATTTGATTCAGTGAATACATTTTCAACTCAATAAGAAAATTTGGAGCATTGAATAGTGAATCTCTGTACTGTGCACTGAAATTTTGGCATCTACAAAAATAACATTCAAATTGCAAAGAGAGAAGGAAGTCCCTCTATATGCAATACGTATTTTTTTTTAAATTAGCTGAATGGATGGGAAAATGATGGGAGAAATGACAAAGAATTTTTCTTGCATGAATCTCAGGGTTAAAAATATCTGTTTCTTGCAATCAATTCTAAGAAAAGTCAATTTTTGTGAAATTTATTGGCAATTTTATCATGCAATATCCTCACGTCAAGTCAGTGTCTGTTTATTGGGCCTTTTTCATTGAATAATAAACGCCCCTATGTTGAATTGTCCGCATGTTGAGGCTTCTGCATTTGGGGGTTCCACTATACCTTTTAAAAAACATTTGATATCTTTAGCCAACGTTTAGGACCAATCGTTTGAATCTTATTTTCTTATTCAAAGCCGGTAAATTTAATTCCGGGCACTGACTGAAACTCTCGCGTGGGCGGCAAAGAAAACTGATGTGGGGGTTGCAGCTTGGGGGGGGGGGGGGGTGAGGTACAGTATAAGGGTGTGTCACAAAGGGGATTCAATTTCAAGCCTGAGAGCATATTGCCCAAATAACCCCCCTCCACCCCACGCAAGTCAAAGAGGGAACCCCCCTGTGCACAAGTGACATGAATTCTGCGCGACTGCCCATTATTAGTGGCGAAACCCGACCTGCAATGCTTCTATATATATATATTTACTACTGCTCCTCACGCAAAAAAAAAAACAGCGCCTATTTTCTTCTGGCTCACGGTGTGACGGATGCAACTGGGTCAAATTCCCGACTGGTCAGCCTGTTTATTTATTCTTTCTTTCTTATTTTTGTGACCTGACGAGAAACAGGGGGAGGGGATTTTGTTGAAAATTGCTTCGGGGATTGAGGAGATAATTTTAGGAGAGAATTTATGAGTCTCTCTTCCGCCCAGGTTTTATCCTTATTTTCTCGAACTCGTTTTTTTTTTTTTTTTTTTTTTTTTTTTTTTGTTTTTTTTTTTTTTTTTTTTTTTTTTCTCGACCTTTTTTTTTTTTTTTTTTTTTTTTTGCATCAGGGTTTCCGTTGACCTTTTGATATTTGCACGAACGTCTCACGTATTTCCCCTGAGACGTTTCTATAAAATAAAACTCGCTGTGCAAATAGCTTTAAACTGGTACACACAAAGAAGCGTAGTGCAACTTTGGACTCGAAAATTACAAGAATAATTACATTTTTAAGTTGTCGATTTTTCAAGGAGAATTTTCAATACTGTAAGTATAATTTATGGGTCAATTATGGTGGGTAAATGTCAGGGGACCTATAAAAAAAAGACCTTCCTCGAAGAAAAAGTCGCGAAGACATGACCTGTTATCCTGAAAAAGGAAGGAAACACATTTCCTCCCAATTTCCGTTTTCCACTAAATTCCCATTTTCACCTTTTCTGTGCTAATAAATGATGATAGTGGTTATACTGTTCCACTTTAAAGCCTGACCTTCACGAGATTAATTAATCTAGTGCAATATCTCCCTTTGCTGCATAGTTTGCATCTAGGTTTTGGATACAATGATATTTCGTTGTATCTCTATAGTGTCCCACAATCATGCCCCAGTATTTTCCAGGCCAATCTTGGGTCAGCAATTTGGATCACAGGTGCGTCCTCTTCCTGATATTCACTTATTTCCTTATTTTAAATGGGACATTTTCCATTTAGCAACCAGAACCATTCTAGATTTTGACCAGTAAAGTAAAGGCTTAGCTAACGTGTTAAAACTTCTCAGTTGAAACTATAGTTTGTGTTTCTCAGTCCACTGGACTTGAAACATTTATGTTTGTTTGTGTTTGTCTTGTGTGTTTGTACTTGGTTGTACTAAATCCAGTGTATGAATATATTCTGAATATTATACGTCCAACTCACAGTCCTTTAATTTGGGGGAAAAGGACAACAGGCCCATTTTAAGTCGTGGATTCAATATTAATTTTTGGCAAAATGTAGACACAGAAACCACAGAGACAGTTAAAATTTAAATTTTAGTCAATTTTTTAAGGATAATTTTTGCACTTTAAGTAGTTTTTGCAGCAAAATTCCGTTTTAAAAATTCCTGCTGATCTAGAAAAAAAAAAATTTCACAAGGATGAAATTGTCATGACCGGGATTTTTTTTCATTGGTTCGTTGGTAAATTGAGTACTCAACGAATCTTTGTACAGTATATAGAAACCGATGAATCTTTTGAACCATCCCGTAAATGTCATTAATCGGAGTTAAAAATTAATTATTATAATCATTATAGTTTGTGGTTCCCCGGGAGGCTGGAAGAAAAATCAGATACGTCTTATTGAAAGTGTCATAAAACCAAGAATAAATGTGGATAAAACAGCTCTGGAAATAAATATTTTGTTTCTTGTCCAATAATGAAGACGTTTTATTGAGGCCAAATTTGCAATTTTTTTGTGTAGGCCTTTTCTGCTGGTTTATTAATTTATTCGGGTGATTTAATTTCGTAAAGTAGACATTTTGGAATGTACAGTATAGTTTCATCGCAATATTGTGCGAAAGCGGCTACATAAACAAATGATAAACATATATAAACATATATTCCCTTTTATCTTGTGGAATGACAATCTTCTGAAACCTTGCCAAGGCACAGCAGAGGTAGTGATGGAATAATTTGGTACCTTAATATACTACTGTACCTGCACACTGGCTGCTGTTAGATGGCAGCCATAGTAATTGAATACTAGAGATTTTAATCTGTACCCTTCAAGGTTTTTAACAAATCAGGTGTGCAGAAGAACAGACTAAAAAAGATTTGCGTTGCTTTTGTGTGTGTGAATGTGAAGGTTATCCATTTTATCCATTTGTTATTTTTTTATGAAAAAGTCTGTTTTTTGTGTGTGAATCAGTATTGGGGTTAATTTGAAATACTGTATACTTTTATCTTCCTTTTGGGATTTCATAAGGAAATCCCCAGCTGCACCCCACAACTGATTCTGTGTTTCATTTCAAAATTCTGCCTTTTGTGTAGATCTCATCCACAGAGGTATTTCACCCTTTCCCTTCACGAAATTCACCAGCTTGTTACATTTTCTTAAATTTCAAAAATTGAGAAAACACTCGCGACGAAATGGATATATTAGGGACTCAACAATCATAATAATAATTATTATTATTTCGAACGGATTGTGGTGGACTCACATGGGTTTGTCAGGGTTTTCCACGTCATAATTGTCCATCCATTCCTTGTATTCCTTCTTGGCATAGGTCAGGCAACCCGGGATTTCAACCAGACAGGCCCAGTCCAAAATCAAACTGGTCTTGAGTGGAACGCTGATGTCATCGTAATCCCCAGTCACTGATTCCGCTGGTCTGAAGCTCAATTTTTCGTAAATGGGCAGCAGGAGATTTTTTATGTAATCCTGTGTGTATCAAAGAATCAGGTTTCTTTCAGAAATGAAATTAATGACATTTAAAAACCGTATATAATACAGTTTTTTTTTCATTTCATTTTTGGGCAGCAGGTGGTTTTAAATTTTGTCAGTTTTGAGTTCCCACGAAAAGATGGTTATGTAAGCATCATATAAGTTTCAAGTTTAGAAATTACTCCTGAGAACCCCATGAAAATCTTTATTTGATAACCCTATATATAAGCTATTATTTGAAAAATCTGTACGACTGATATTTTCAAAATTTCAAAGCTTCAATCGCTTTTCGAATTATCCGTTTACGATTTCTTCTCAGCATCCATTCAGAATGAAATACTTATGCGACTACAAGAGCTATAGGTATTTGAAAGCATTTTTGTAATAATTTTTAATGAGCACTTGGAAGAATAATAATTCCCGAATAATAAATCAATTATCCACATGTTTCGTTTCTTCGTCATTTCTGAGCGAATTTTTTTTTTCATTGCAACAAATAATCTTCGCGATTCTGGTCGATTTCCCCTGAAAATTTTCTCTGGCTCACAGAGAAGAAATAAGTCTCGACGGGAAATACATATTTATGAAATTCTTAAAATTCAAATCAGGGTTTCAAAGTTCTTTTTTTTTTGGCCGCAAGAATAAAGAGTGAATTTGGATAATCGATTATGGAAAAGTCTATCACACTTTGACGTTTGAAACTTAAATCTTGAAAACTGGGGTAAATATGAAGGGATTCTCAAAAATCTTGCTCAAAAATCACCAAGTATTTAAAGCACTCTGGCAAAAGAGGAGTACCTTGCAATAGAAAAGCAATGCCAAGAAATGCACTCAATAAAATATTATAGATTACAGAGTTTGAGTTCACTCATTTTTAAAATTTTTGAATTGAATTGAACAACAAGCTTCATTTTGTGCTCTTCAGTGTTCACAAAATTCAAGCAACGTTCCCACATCCAAACCCCCTCCCCTCCCAACTCACCTTCATCCAAACACATTCCATCACATCAGAATGGAAAACAGATAAACAAGCTATATTTGGATATTAAAAGAATAGAAAATACATCTCAAAAAGTACAATTGCAAAACTGATGTTATTGAGGACAAATGTCTTCAATGTAAGTTAGTGTTGAGTAATTTATTTGAGGAACAATAAAACAAGTTGATCAGTCCAGGACAGGACCAGGATTCCGTTTTGGAATTCCTAGTTTAAGGGATAAAGTGTATTTCACACAAATATAATGAATATCAACTCAACAAGCTTGGGCTTGTAGGAGTAATGTGAATAACTTGGAATAACTCAGATAAACTTAACTGATAATCTAATCTAGAAAAGGATGCAGCTTATATACTATCAACAATATTTAACCTTCAACAGGTTTTACTTTACAAACAGAATAGAAGAAGTTCTTGTCAAACTGCAGTGCCAGGATGTTTCTGGCACTGTGATTTTGAGGAGTGGGGAATATTTCCTTCAATTCTAAGAAACAAGCATTTTACAGTCAACCCCCATCTAACGGACTTGATTTGTGCAAGGGACAAGTCTGTTAGACAAAAAGTCCTTTACACGAATTCAATTACATAAAAAATTAAAAATTTCAATTTTCAACACTAATTTTAAATCAAAAGAAGTCTGTTTGGCGGATTTTGTCTGTTGGGTGGGAGGAAAAACTGCTTGCAGAGCTGGCCTGTTTGGCAAAAATCCCTTACATGGGAGGTCTGTTAGGTGGGGGGCCACTGTATTTTAATTTGGCGTGCATGCCCAACAGATGTAATTCCTGTACATACACTTTCCTTTCTTACCTGATGAAAAATATCAGTGATACAAATTGCAGCAGAAAGCAATAAATTACTAAATCCAAGTTAAAGCGCAAGGTGTTCAGCCTGCTCCCAGGTAAGGTTTAGTTGATAAAACAATTTGGAGAGAATCTTCAATGAGAAAGCGTAGAATGTTAACTGCTTATCTTGGTCCTCTTAAGATTTTGGAAAGAGACTTTTCATTGAATTTCAGGAGTCATTTTTTTTTATAAAAGAGTCATTTTGTTGTTGTCTCCCAACGGTCTCACCTTGAATGCCCCATAACCCCCTGTTTTGATGAGCATTTTCCCGATGTACTGCATGTCCCTGAGAGCAGCTTTCCAGGGTGCATATTCCCGTTCATAAACCAGGTATTTGGTGAGTTCCAGTGCCCGGGTGTAGTCCAGAAGCTCTGCTCGGGCCAGACTCATGGCGTCATCAATCAACTGGGCCCGGTTATTGACGTGGATGGACTCGTGATGAGTCATGAGTGCGATTCTGATCAAATCCCAGTTCCTGGAGTCGTAGTTGCAACGGTAAAAACTTGTCATCTGAAAAAAATATTTAAAAGATGAGTGAGAGATTAGTGAAGAAAATTGGAAGAGTCGATTGGGAAGAAGGCATAAAAATAAATACAGGCGGACTCTCTCTCTCTCTCTCTCTCTCTCTCTCCAACAAAATTCAGGGACACAGGAAATAATTGGTTGTAGAGAGAATTTCTTTGTAGAGAACAACCAGTATGACACGGGTGAGAAAACCCTAAATGGGACAAAATAAAAATTCTTTGTGCCAATTTGTAGACAAAGCCATTATTGTAAAGAGGGTCCACTTGTGTAAGTACTGTACAGGGGTTCTAACAGAAGTTCTTGGAATACAAATTAAAATGGCATATAATTGAGCTGAAAATTTTTTATCTTCTTTAGGGAAAATATATTTTTTGGCACAAGAAGAAAATCAGCCCTGTTTGACCATTTTTTTCATTTTTTTGCTAAATTCACCCTAGCAGAGTTTTGCTCTCCACTCCAAAGATGGCGCCTTCACAGCTGACAATGTGGAGTGTGAGTTATATTCACAAAAGGCACAGACCAAAAGCTCTAGTATGCAATTAACATGGCTGCCATCTAACAGTAGTCCAATTTGAGTATATTCTCAAATGTACCTGTGCAAGTGTAGCAGTACGTTAAGGTACCAAATTATTCCATCACATGGCGGCTGTTGATGAAAATGGCGGAATTACCTTGGAAGACCTGGAGGCAACCTTTGGAATTAATGCCATGTTGATTTCATGAATTCTGAGGGAAAAGCTGGGCTACAACGACAAAATCTGCAGGAAGGGCGCCTTATCTTTTGAGTGGAGAGCAAAACTCTGCCAGGGTGAATTTTGCAAAACATTCAAAAAAATTCAGTCAAACAGGAATGATTTTTTGTGTCACAGAATATGTTTTCCCTAAAGAATAATTTTTTCAGCTCAATTACATGCATTTTAATTTATATTCCGAGAACTTTCATTAGAACCCTCGTATATATGCATTGATAACAATGACTGCATCTGTTTTGAAGACTGGCACAACTGCCTCAACATTTTCATACTTCATGTGTACCTCTGGCGAATACTCATTTCATGTCTAATTTAATTACAAAGATGAAGGAGCTGGGTAATCACTGACTGGCCATACCCACTATATGTAGACCCCTAGAAGTGGAAACATGATACTCCTTCCTTTTGCCTGTTCCCTTCAATTTCCTATGGGTTGAATTCTGCGGATTTTAGGATATATTTGGATTTTCAACCTGATATGTGGTTATACAGTAGCATGTTGATGAGGAAAGTGTAGCTTAATTGGAAACCCTTTCGTATTTCGATTCCATTTCTACGAACTTAAAGCACCTCTCCTATATTGTTTCTTCCTCTCTTGAACTGAGCTTGGGTTCAAGGTACCCACTGTTGACTTTAATCCACCAGATCAATGTTCCCCAACCTTTTTAGACCCGCAGACCGGCAAAATTTCCATTAAATTTTTTGTGGACCAGCAAATTCCCCAAAAATATTTCCGTGGACCGGCAAAGTTTCCTAAACTTTTTGCAGACTCCCAAAAGTTTCTGATTTTTGCAAAAATTGATTTAAGCACCAATGAAGCAGGCGTATAGTGGAATGCTTTCAAAAAATTAGAAAGGTGGGCTTGAAGAAGGGTTCCTCAGAAGGAAAAAAATTGAAATTACCTGTATTTATTTCAGCAGGTGTAAATTTGTTTGAGGTGCTGAGAGAAAAGCCAACTTTCATTTTCATCAGATAGTTTAAACTGCCTTGATTTGTCCTTCCAAAATTTTAGAAAAAGATAGCAAAAATTCATCCCTAATTTTCATGCATTATGCTGAAAATTTTCCAACATGCAAAACATTTTCCATCTGACGCGGAGTGAAAGAGCTGTAATTTGTGGTAGTTATTTTTATTTTTTTTCAAGTACTGATTTGAGAATTTATTTGAGTGAGAACGAGAACATAACTTCTTAAAATGCGGAGCGACTAATGAGAAGCATGTATTTGAAAAGTTGCGGGAAAAAAATATTAATTGAAGTAAATTACGGTATTTAATGTGTTGCTATACCGGTTTTAGAAAAAAATAATAATGTAAAGAATGCAACACAGACTGAACCTGGGAGTTCATGAGGACCCATCGGGTTTGATCCGTCAGCCCGTGGTCGTGGATTCGGGTCTCGGGTTCGTCTGGTCTCAGCCAAATGTCGGGTCGGGTCTCCAAGAACTCGCTGCCATCCAGGGTCAAACTGACTGGGACCCACCAGAGGTCCGACGAGTTGCTCGACTTTTCTGCTTGCTCTTCAATGAGGAAAAACGGCTTCTGTTTTGCGAAACAAACATTTTTAAAATAATTTTTTTAAATGATCAGAAAGCGGGAAGAAAAATGAAGGAAGTGTGTCAAAGAAAAATGTCAATCGAATCTAAAACCGGACAAATTTCATTCGTAAATTTCGATTATTGAAGAGAATTGTGCATTCGAATGATTCCAGTTTATTTCCGAATAAATTTCAGGGCATTTTTTCGTAGTTTTCGTCAAAATTGAATTGGCAAAAAAATGTTGATTGACTCCAGGTCCGAAAATTTCACTCTTAAACTGTAGTTATTACTCAGAATCATAAATTAGAATGAATCCGGTTGATTTCCCAATACATTGCTGTATATATGTTACTGTTTTTTTTCTCTGTACTTTTCCTTGGAATCACCTTGACGAAGGTGTTGTCATGGGTGCATTTGATCCCAGACAAAGGAATTGAATTATGTGCACCCATCAGAATGCAAGTTTTGAATAAGAACTCAAACTCTTTTCAGAGGAGTTCATTCTCATTGCTAGGATGCAATAGTTTGGAAATTTCCAGGTTATTTATTTGGGCATTTTTGTGAAAGATCACTGAGTGCAGTGGAAAAGCATTGCTTGGGACTTTGTGGTCTTGGGTCAATAACAAATGAAAAAAATGGAATTGCTCATGTCTATCAGGTATGCGTTGAGCAGAGGGGCACCACACAAGATCTAGGGTATAACAGAAATAAAAACTCTCTTAATCCTGTGCCAGTTGTGACCTGATGGCTCAGAACTGCTGCATTGCACAAAAATGAAAAATTACAGATGAACTGTCAACATATAACCAGCTGTAAGTATAGAAATCTTGAAACTCTTTCTAAAATTTTGACCATGATACATAAGTGTGGCTGTGCACCCCCTTTTTCAAAGATATTGTACCCTGATTTACAGTGAATTTTTAAAATATTTGTAAAATTCCAAACATGATGCCCAGGTGTGGCTGGGCACCCCCAGCTTGTGAGGTAATTAAAGTTAAAAGGCCCTTTAACATTAGGTTCTGACTTCTCCTCTCACAGAGGAATGAAGGTTTTTATAGCCAGGTGCTCGGACTGGGTCAGGAAGGAATCAGGTGATATCTTCCTGGCTCAGGATTGGCCAATGTTTGTAAAATTGAAGAAGTGATAACCACTTCGTGTCCTTGAGTGAGGCTCAAGTGAGTCTGGCAAAAACTGGATTTTTTCGAGGCTCACTGGCCTCCAAAATGCAACAAGTTTTCTGGGCTGGTTTCAGCCTGGTGCTGGAGCTGCGTTGCTTTGGTATGCAACAGGTGTCAGTTGAATCTCAATCCGGAAATGTCAGTCGTACCTTTTAATGAAAGAGAATTATGCATTGGAGTGAATCCGGGGGACAGATGTCGAAGGCTTTTTCTATGGTTTATTTTCCTCAAAATTAAATTGACTCACAAAGGGCAGTACTTTGACATGAGTCAAGAATTTTTTTTGAACTTCTGAACAGCAGACTTTTCAATTTTTATTTTTCAATGGATTAAAGTGATTTTGCTCGATGCTGTGGAAGGACATTTTCATTGTTTCTCTACGGTCTTCTGGAGTATGCCTGTCAGTCGAATCAGTTACAGTGTATTTACTGATGTACAGTATTTTTTTTTTAATTCCAAGTACAGGTGGTACCTTGCAATTTGACCCTAATCTGTTACCAAACTACGGTTGAAATGCAAAATGGTCAAATTCTCGCAATTTGACCCTAATCTGTTGCCAATAAACTAGGGTTGAAATACTTAATTGGGCAAATGAACCCACCCTGCCTCCAGGTTCAGCAGCCTTTCAACTCATTTAAGAAGCCATTTAAGCCTCAGAACATCACCATTTACATTTTTTCTAAGTTTCCCAGAAAAAGGGCTTTGTATTATAATTCCAACCTATAAAATTCAAAACCTCCCAAAGGTGCATTTTTTTGCAAGTCCCTTGAAATTTGACTTAGAAAGGTTTTATCAATGAAATTACTGTACTGAAAGGTTATGATATTACAATAAGAATATACTGTATTTAAATTTACATTCTAGAAGTTCAAAAGAAAATGGCATGCACATATTATTCCCTGGAAGAAGACTACATGGTTGCTCTTTGACATTTGCCTGAGTAAAGTCTCACAAATCAATCCCGTCACTGGACAAAATATAATAATTAGACGCAAAATGTATCCATCATTCCCAGTGAAAAACTTTACTTTCATCTCGAAAAGGTTTCCTTTTTTCTTTGGGCTAGTATCTAAAGTAAACCCCACCTCAATGTGACAAATGCATAAGAAATTGACTGTGATGTGTTCACGTGCAGAATGTCGTGTCAGTTTCCCGACAGGGTTTTCTTCCTCAGAATTGCATCAAAGCCGCTTTCAGGTCAACGTGTGAGTTTTTTTTTTTCCTGCCGGAAATTACGGAAGTTGAGATGTTGAAGTTTCTTATCAGATGTATACGATATATACACACACAGCAGGAGACAAGAATGAATTGAATTTTAGACGTAAAATGTATTTTTGAGTGTATGTTCAAAGGTATATCTTTAGCAGGCAAATATAAAATTGCTTTCACGAGCTACTCCGGCATTTTCATCTATACTGAGTTACAGTATTAAAATGTACCGCTTTATACAAGCAGACAGATATACAAATAAAAGTGTTACGCAATACATCTATTTACATTTCACCCTTTCAAACCGTCAGTTCAATGACTCAATGGCTTTTCGAAAAGTTCAGAATGTTTCCTTCCAGAATTAGGTCATGCAACATATGTTTTGATGTTCCATAAACCAGATACGGACAAATCGAGACGGACAATAATTCGAGACTAAACAATTTGATGCATACAATTTGAGACATGGCCAACTTATTAAGACATTGTGATTTAGATACGGGACAATTGGAGACATGGACATTTTCAGACTGGGACAATATGAGACAGGGACACTTTGAGACAGTCCCAAAGCATCTCTGAACACACTTTTTTTAATTTTGAACTTAATTTTCTGGTTTCCCAAGCTCCCCCCCCCTAACTTCTCCACACAACATTTTTTATTTATTTTACACTTGATTTCTTGCACTTGAATAGGGTTTTTTAAAAAGCCCTTTTCCCTTTTCTGTTGTCAGTCAAGGGCGAAATTGAATAAGAATCTTAGTTGCTGTATTATTTCAATTATTTTTCCAATTGTTGTCTGAATTATTTGTCGCATGGGAAGTAAAATTAACATACATTTTGTCCAAACAATGCCCTTTTTGTTCCTTTTCAAACCCTCAACATAAGATAGTTGGGAGAAACGCAGGAAACTTTTTTCTAATGCCTCTGTCTGAAAATGTCTCAAATTTTCTCTGTCTTGAAATGTATCTGTCTCAAATTGCCCCTGTCTCTAAAAGTTTATCTCTCAAATTATCCCTGCCTCAAATTGTCTGTCTTGATTTCCCACAGATCCTTCATAAAAATGATGCAGTCAAAGATTTTTGAAGAACAATTATTTTTTAATACTGCTGTACTACTCACGATTTTTGAATTGCGATTTCAAATTTTTCCTCGCGTATTTTCATTTACGAGGACAAAGAAAGCAACCAAAAGATCTTTCTATACAATTTCCCTGCGAAAGAGCCAAAAGTTGGGAAGCGTACTGTGATTTAAAAAAATGTATTTTCTCTGGAAAAAAATATGCTATAAATATCAGGACGTTCCTGAACAGCTTTATAGAAATTTTCTTGAAATTATTTTTTCCTTCCTACAAGAGAAAGAAAAGCTAAATTTGGAAAACTAGTTCTTGTTTTTCTCAATTTACCCGAGGCCAGAAAATTAATTACTGTACATATTTTATCAGCCCGCATTGGAATATTTTAACAGCACGGCTTCTAAACTTTCATTTCAATAAATGCTTTAGACATCATGATATTAATTTCGAAGAAAGAAAGAAGACACAGGAGGAAAGAACCATAAAATACACTTGGTTTTTATTCAGTATTTGCGAGAGAAAATGCCTTTCGAATTATTCGGGAAAGTTAGATAGTTTTTTAATCGTTTACGAATATTACCGGGGTCGTGTCCGGTCAGCCGCCAGCCGTTCAATTCACGGTCGCGCATCCGCCAGCCGGCAACCGCTGGTCCCTCCAACCGCCAGCCGGGGCAGTAGTTGGTCTGCGGAATCCCCAGCCCACCAAACCACGGTCCGGTCACCCGATTGTCGGGGCACCCAGAGGCCCCTTACAATCCCTGGTCAGTTGAATCTTGGCTCTAAAATCATGATCTC